GGGGGGCGTGGGGAAGGGAATCGCTGTCCTTCGGGTGGCGTGGGGGAGGTTGGGGAGCGAGATGGGGTGGGGGGGGGTTGGGGGCGCGTAGGGGGGGCGGGCAAGGGGCGTAGGACACCTGCAGTGTTGGCACGGGGGGGGGTGCTTAAGTCGGGCCTGTCCCTCTACAGGGGGAATATCCAAAGATAGTCCAAAAATAGTCTGGGGGCTATTTCTTGAGTACGTTTTGACCATTGTGGAGTATTCTTTGGGTGGATCGCGTGGGGGGGTGGGAAGTCGCTGTCCTTCGGGTGGCGTGGGGAGGTTGGGGAGCCAGAGGGGGTGGGTTTGGGGCGCGTGGGGGGGCGGGCAAGGGGGTCGGACAGTTGGGGTTGGGGCGAGTGGGGTGGGTTTGGGGCGCCGGTGGGGGGGGGGTGCTAAGTCGTACTGCCCTCTACAGGGGGAATATCCAAAGATAGTCCAAAAATAGTCCGTGGGCTATTTTTTAATATTTTTTGACTATTGTGGAGTATTCTATGGGTTTTTCTTTAGTTTTCGCCGAAAATCCCCCTGTAGGGGGACACGCCCGACTCGCATCTCAGATCGTGGAACGCACATCTGGATTATCCAGGTCTTCTCAATAAGCTGGGGGGGTGGATCGCGGGGGGGGGTGGGGGGGAACGCTGTCCTTCGGGTGGTTCCGTGGGGGGGTGGGGAGCGAGAGGGTGGGTTGGGGGCAGCGTCAGGGAGTGGCGGGCAAGGGGCTTCGGAAGGTTGGCACGGGGGGGGGGCTTTTTGAAGGATATGGAGTAGGCGTAGCACATCGAAGAAGTCAGATCGTGGAGCGCGCATCTGGGGATGAGGCTTCAGTCGTGCCTGTCCCTCTACAGGGGGAATATTCGAGAATAGTCAAAAAAATAGTCCGGGCAGACTGTGGGGGGGTGGATCGCGTGGGGGGGTGGGAAGTCGTTGTTCTTCGAGCGGCGTGGGGAGGTTGGGGAGCGAGAGGGGGTGGGTTGGGGGCGCGTGGGGGTGGCGGGCAAGGGGCGTCGGACAGGTTGGCACGGGGGGGGGTGCTTAAGTCGGGCCTGTCCCTCTACAGGGGGAATATCCAAAGATAGTCCAAAAATAGTCCGTGGGCTATTTTTTAATATTTTTTGACTATTGTGGAGTATTCTATGGGTTTTTCTTTAGTTTTCGCCGAAAATCCCCCTGTAGGGGGACACGCCCGACTCGCATCTCAGATCGTGGAACGCACATCTGGGGATTACTCCAGGTCTCTCAATAAGCGTGGGGGGGTGGATCGGTGGGGGGGGGGGGGGGGGGGGGGAAATAGTGTCCTTTCGGGGTGGCTGTGGGGGAGGTTGGGGAGGAGAGGGGGGTGGGTTGGGGGCGCGGTGGATGGGGGCGGCAAGGGGCGTCGGACAGGTTGCACCGAGGGGGGGGGGGGCTCTTAAGTCGGGCTGTCCCTTCTACAGGGGGGAATATCCAAAGATTAGTCCAAAAATAGTCCCCAGACTATTTTATACATATTTTGTGACCATTGTGGAGTATTCTTTGGGTCTTTTTTAGGCTTCGTCGAAAATCCCCCTGTAGGGGGACACGCCCGACTTAAGATTAGGCGTAGCACATCGAAGAAGTACTCGCGTCCAGTGCTTTCACTCGTGCTGTTTTGAAATCCATTCACGTGCGATAGGGATGCCGATAAAGACCGGGAGGGAAAGAACAGCTTGTGATTCACGTATGTGTTGCTGCCACGATGCGAGGGTGCACCTGATATTGATTGATGTTTGGAACCAGTTTTCATCATGTATTGCACGCGTGCTCCATTGAAGTACAAATATGCCGATCTTACGCGCTGTGGTGGTCGTGTCTGAGGTAGGGGTGATATTACAATACTGACAGAGACCAGATATGAGAGCGTGTTCAGATAGGCACTGCAGAGCATGTAGAGGTAGGTAGAGGGGTAGGGAGGGAAAGCCTTCTCGCACACGACGTGACTAGGTTCCCATGCCTGCCATGTTAGGAAAGCCAGGGGGTAACTGCACAGGACGAGAATAAAGAAGCAGACGAGCTTGGGGACAGAGTCAGTGTAGATGAAGAAGAAATTGATGATGGTGAAGATGGGGATGTAGTAGTGATATGGAACTGCGAAAGCGCTGCTTGTTGGTAGACCAGACATATATTTTCACCACATCTGCTAGCACCCGGCCACCTTTGGAGTGTGGCACTGGGGTTTACGCCATCTCCGCTTGGTGCTAAATGGGCTGCAGCACGCATGGCATTTGCGCACTATTCCTCCGAGCAGGTCCACGCTAGCAAGAGTATAGCTCCGGCTACGTTCGGGAACGTTGTTAAAATGACGCCGAGCTTAGCAACAGCAAGGCAAAAGCTGAGACAGAGAGAGAGAGAGATGAGACAGAGGACCCAAGACGTAAGAGAAACGAGAAGTGAGCTGAGCAAGTTATAGTACAACGTGAGGATTACATGCAAGACGGGTCTGCAATCAACTCTCTCACAG